TTGATCACTCTAACATGATATTACACTTTTGAGATAGCTCAGTGGGCTAATGCATTATCAGTAGAATCTGTTCAACCCTTGGGGTTATCCTTCCGAGGTAGATAAATTGGGTAATAGTAATATCCCCAGGAAGTACTTGAAAACCATAGCAATCTGAATGTACCTTTCCAAGTTAAATACTTTGTTATTATTATATTACAAAAAGTTATAATAAACAGATAATCACAATTCTGCAATTTTTATTACTATAGATCTCGATGGAAAAACATATACAGAATCCTTGCCTATATTACTTGTGAAGTAATACATATTTTTGTTATTCAGGGCTGTTTTACTAATCTCAAATGATTATTATAAACTATCACATCTGAAGTAAAAGTACTTTACCGAGTATGAAATCATATGTATTGTCAGGTAGACAAATGTCATGATGGGTCTTAAAAACCCTTAAAAATAACTTCTAATTGCTGGAAAGTGATTCTGTCTTTATTTTTAAACTATGATAAATAGACCAATTGTACTCATATCATTAAGATAATTCAAAAAGAAGAATACAAACTTTGGACTGTAATTCCCATTGAAAGACATAAGGTCTTAAATGTTTTGATATTCATTTATCATTACCAATCAACTGTATAAAATGCATTGAAAAACATGTATTTGACAGATCTGATCCGATGATAGAAACAGGAAATGTAGAAAAATTATAACTTTAAAAATGTGGGGATTTAAATCTCTATGCATTTTTAAAAAGTTACTATCATTTTCAGAGATTCTATTATGTTGTCATAGTAAAATGAGTATGATATGGCTATGGTAACCATTTATAATATAGGGCATAATTACAGTACCTGCTACATTTTTATAATACTGCATTTAGGATTAGTTAGGATTATGCCTGGAAGGTTTGAGTTAAGGTCTCTTTGGGGTTATGGAGGACTTATCCTAACCTACCCCCAAATCAAAATGTTCTATAGTAAAAACCAAAGAAAAAAAAGTTACCTGCACTCTCTCCTTAATCCCTATGTATATTTAAACAAATGGAGGTCATTTTGTTACTCCATTGGCCACTGGAGGGAATGCCCGTCTGCCAACGTCAAGGTAGACCCCCCTAGACGGGTTCTACTCTGACCCATTGGAGTAACTAAATGACCGCCATTTGTTCATTGGAGTAACTAAATGACCTCTGAGGGGTTAAAATGAAATACATGACTACTATAAATGGGCAAGCTTATTCTTGAAATAGTCTAGTTGCCGACCATCAATGAGATAACCTTTTGACCTCACCACCAGAAATACATGTTGTTGGTTGCTGAATAAGCAATGTCGTGTTTAGCTGATGTAATCTTGTTACCTTGCTTTCTGCTGTAACCTCTATCCATAAATATGTGCAGCTGTCTCAAAGTAAAGTGTGGTCGTCTTGAACTGACATACTGTGTTGCGTACTGATTCAGTAAAAGATAACCACCTGGACGTCCATATCTAAAGGTGGAGTGCACGGATGGGCCCAAATTTCTAGTATCTGCTACAGGAAGAAAAGTTAACCCCCAACAATCTGGTGGCAGAAGTGGGATCTCCACAGAGTGGTGAGTAGCCAAGTCATTTAAGTTATTTCTGCTTACCCCTCTCTGGAGATCCCTTAAGTAAGTGTGGGGTGGGTTAGACCCATTAGTGATTGAAAGGTTTGAGTCCTTTCCATTTGTAAAATAAATCTGTGCACCCACTGGAGGATATTAGGTGTTATTAAGGATAAGTTTTCTTTTCATATTTTCTAACGTGTTAAGTTTCCTTTTCATATTTTGTAGAAGTAGAAGTTTTGTTATTATGGGACAAAAGAATAGCAAACAGGGAAGTCTCCCTAGTGGTCAAGATGTTAGAATATTGTACCATGATTCTAATCAAGTGCCTTCAGCAGCTCATTGTACTAGTGTGTTCCCAGAGACCCCCAAACCTTCCCCTTTACCAGGGGAGAATCCCAGACAGTTTGTATCCCGTGTAGCTGGAGGTTATTATTCTACCCCATTTGTAGATAACCTGGCTGGATGGACAGAGGCTATAATCAGCCCTGAACCCTTCCCAAGGGAAGGCAGTCTATGTCAGCCTTTTATGGACATGATTATGTCTTGGGGGATAAGGAATGGTCCGGGTATGGATCAGATTCAAAATGGAATATGATATATATGAAAAATTGTGGGGAGGCTTGGGTCAAATTGTCACCATATTGGCTATGTCATGCTAAAAATCAGCCTCCAACTGCACCTCCACCTCCATATCCTTTAGCAACCCCCAAAACTAAATCCACCTCTTTGTATCCACTAATTATTTATCTGATGAAACCCTGTTGGCAATTTCAGCTGCATACACTGTTATACAACAGTCAGAAAAGTCTAGGGGAGATGCTCCTATATCCCTAATTAGTAAGGAGAAGGAAGATATTGATGAGTATGACCCTAAAAGTTATGCACTGAGTAGTGGCACTAAAGTAGCCCCAACAACCCCCAAGTTAGCAATCAAATTAGGGACTTCTCAGGTTTCTTTTCCCTTCATGACTGTGGGTACAAATGTTGTTACTCTCCCAGTAGATCCACTTAAAATGAATGCCTGGGCAAATGAATGCCCAGACCCCTTTAAGCAGCCAGTAGCTGCTGTAAATTATCTTAAAAGATGCACAGCTAATATGCAGTGCCTCCCACAAGATTATATATTTCTACTAAATGTTGTTACTAAACACTCGGGCATAGATTGGCAAGAGAAAATCCCTCAATTTGATCCCAAATATCATTATCCTATTGATGCTGGTAAAAATGTGTGGAGTGATACAGGACATGTGGAAAGAATGTGGAAAGATGTTTTAAAAGTCTTGGTTGAAGTTCAGGGATCGAGGACAGATATGTCACCTGCTATAGCATGTAAGCAAAAGTCAGGAGAATCTGTCACTGATTTTATACGTAGATTTAGAACTTATTGGATTGAGGAATGTGGCCTAGGATTTGAAGGTGATTTGCAAACCCTCTATATTCAAACATGTGTTGACAATCTTGCAGATAATGTAGGACACATGCTGTGTATTTGCATGCCTGGGAGGTTTAAGCTTACTGCTACAGTATTTGAAACTAACTGTAGGGGACTGGATGCTGGAGGAGCATTCCCTGCTGCTAAGGCATCCAAGTCACAAGCATTGATGGCATTTGCTGGTAGGGGAAGAAAGGAATACAGACATAGGGACCGAAACAGACAACCCTGGGGTGATGTGAGACCCTGTGGACAGTCTGGAGGTCGCCCTGGGACCCAGGGAATCTGCTATAATTGTGGAAAACCTGGCCATTGGCAGAGAGAGTTTTTAGCCCACCATCGGCCCCGGCAGGATGCCTATTCTGGCTGCATGCCCCCACAAGGACTGCCTCAACAACCTGTTAATAACCCCTTTTCCCCTGTTAGTCAGCAACATGTGCCTGCCATCCAGCAGCAAAGGCGCACACCCCAATAGGGCTGCCCGAGGAAAGACCCTCTTGCATGTTTTGTCACTCAGTTATCCACTAAATGGGTGACAGGGAGAACCTATGATTTTCTTATGGCTACTGGAGCCTCCCGGTCTTCTATTTCTAAACTAGAATATGAGGGACCAGTGACAGGGACATGCGATGGGTGTGACTGGGGTTCTTATTTATTGTCAAGTTAGCCCAAAGCTTTCTGTGTCTTGTTCAGAGCTATCTATCAAACACTCTTTTCTTATCATTCCTAACTGTCTTGTTAACCTGCTTGGTAGAGATTTATTGGCTAAATTATCTGCTACTATATTGTTTGTTTCGGTGGATTGTATTGTGATTCTCCCTATCACTTAACTACCCCCCCCCCCTCTCCTCCTCAGCTGCTCTCTCCTCTTTCACTACCCCTCCCCTCTCCTTGCATTTTCCAAACTCTATCTATAATCCACTCATTACACTGCTCTCTTTTGTTGTCTTCCCCTACTCCCTCCCCACCCTTATCCCTGCTACCCCTATCACCCTCACCCTGATGCTGTCACTATAGATGGTTTGTTTCTTACTTCATCCTCTGTTCATGTGACTAGTAATGGTGTCTCATTTTTGTGGTTTACAACTACTAACCAGTATATTCCATTTGACCCTGTGACAGAAACAATTTCCCCAGAACCTGTCCTTCCTCACCCATCCCTGGCTACCCTGCCTAAGACTTTGTGGTCAACTTCATCTACAGACCCTGGATACATAGATTGTTCCCCCTATCAGGCAACCCTAGAGCCAGGGGCACATCCAGTGTACATTAAGCAATACCCTTTGTCTAGAGAGAAGGAACAAGGCATTGATCCTTCAATAAGTGAATTAATCACCAAAGGTATTATTGAACCTACAATTTCATCTTATAATACACCAATTAATCCAGTACCCAAACCAGGTAGAAATGAGTACAGATGTACCCAAGATCTCAGAGCTGTTAATGCCTTAGTACAATCGATAGCCCCTTTAGTCCCATATGTTAACTCTATCCTGACCAGCATCCCTTCAGATGCTGCATGTTTTTCTGTGATTGGTTTGTGTAGTGCTTTTTTTTTAGAATTCCAGTACACCCTGACACCAAGTTGCTGTTTGCTTTCAAGTATAAAGGGAGTCAATATACATGGAACAGGCTGCCTCAGGGCTTCTGTGACTCCCCCACAGCCTATTCCACAGTTGTCCGTAAAAGTCTTGAGTCCCAGTCTCCTCCCTGTGGGTCTATACTCCTGCAGTATGTGGATGATCTCCTGCTTTGCAGCAAAGATTATCAAGCTTGTCTTACAGACACCATAAGCCTGCTTCAACAACTCCATGACACAGGTCACAAAGTGTCTCCTACAAAGCTTCAGTTCTGCCTGCAGACTGTCAAATATCTGGGATTTCTCCTCTCCCAGGGCAGCAGAGTCCTGTCACCTGACAGAGTTCATGCTATTGCTTGCCTCCAGAAACCACGCACCCAGAAGGAAATGTTGTCCTTCTTGGGAATGATCACTTACTGTCGCCAGTGGATACCTGACTGTTCTTATCATGACCATATTCTAAGACAAAGCACACTGAAGGGCAATCCTGATGTCATACAGTGGACACTAGAACTTGAGCGTTCCTTTACAGCCCTCAAAGACTCTTTATGCTCTGCTACAGCATCGGGACTGTCAAATTATACATTGCCGTTCCACCTCTATTGTGCGGAGGGCGGATCAACAGTGGAAGGTGTCAGAAGGTGTCAGATCCAGACACCTTCCACGGCTCTGGGTATTGGCCTGTGGCTTTTTATTCTACATTGTTGCCAGCGGTGGTCCAGGGCATGCCGGCTTGCTTACGTGCCGTAGCGGCATGTGCTATGATGGTTGAGACCTGCCAGCTGTGGGGATATTTATGGGATAATAATAGTAACAGTGAGAATTGCCCACTAATTCAATTCTCAGATCCCAAAGAACGTTTATCGTGTTAAGTGAAAAGTATTTCATATAAATAATCACAATGTATAAAAATAGATTTTATTTATGATAACCAATAATTAACAAATAATATTATGTAACATGCATGACAATAATCAATGAATATTCAGTATAAAATGGTATGCAATACAAAGGAATGGGTATTACGTTTCAATGGCTAAAAAGCATTTTCTGTCAAGACTTTATTTATGACTATCTTTCACAGACTTAAAGTGAAACTTTTCACAGCGAAGAACAGAATTCCTCAGAGTGCAGCGTAAGGTCGTAAAGTTTAGCAGACAGTTAGAATAACCCTTTCAATGCTGGCTAGATCTCCTAGGTAGTTAAGATCTTTTCTTATGTAATTTTAAATAAAATAACATTTAAACCAGTTTAAATTCATTTTCTTAAACCATCCAATAAGAGAATCTACATATTATATAAGCAGATTTTAATTTGTCTAAAAGATATCTATCTTAATTTAGAGCAAATCAATACACCTGGATAAAAACAGCGGTATGCTAACACGTGATAATATCACATCAATATATAATTATTCTTAATTCCACCTGCAGAATGGAATATTTATAACTATATATTCTTAGTTAACTAAGATTTCTTAATATGGAAATCTGACCGTGCTTTATCCAGTCATATATAATGCTATTAATACATTTTAATTAATTTAATTTAATTAAATGAAACCAGTATAATTACCAGTTGAGTAGATATTTCATCCGATTGGTAGTCTCAGGAATTTATTTGGATGTGTCTCTGCATGGAGGTTGGAGTCCCCAAACTTCCAATTCCTCTCTTTTCTCTCCTTTGCATATCTTGCATCTGCCTCCTTCGTCTCGTCTATCTCTTGTATATCTTCCCTTTGTCTTAACTTTTAAAGGGCCAGACTCTCTGTACGTCATCAGTTGATAACCCAATAGAAGCACTAGAGGTGTGGTTATCTTCCAGATCGCAAATTAGTTATTTGGTCTGTAGAGGGCAGTCTTGTCCCACTAAACATACCTATCCAGGAAAGAGTTAACTTTTCCTGGTGGCTATTTTGACGTCATTTTGCGTTATCTTTATAGCGCCATAATTTAAAATTTCAAAGGGTTTCTTAAATTTTGTCCAGACTTAGCGTCTGCAATTCCTGCCATAATTTCTGATATGACAGATCATGAACTAAGTTTACCCTTTTCCATACAATGGTACCTTATATATATAGACAGTAAAATTAAATTATTTAATCTTCTCTGTCACAATTGTCTGGGTTTAGATTTGATTATATTCTTTTAGCATTAGACAGTCTGTCCAACCCCCTTCCTTATCACTTGGCTTGTATATACTATGCATTCCTGAGCTCTGGGAAAGTGGTTAGCTTACAGATAGAAATATAGTGTCTTTCTGTTAACTTGAAATAACAAAATGGAGTCTGGTCTGTTCAGAGTGACTCAGAATATACACTTTTAGTTTCTATCATAGCACAAGATGTCTGCCGATATAAATACTCTGACATAACCCCCCTTTAGTGCATTTCATAGCCAAAATTAATTTAGCTTATGAATAAGCACTATAGACGTTATCAGACATATTGTGCAATCACATCATTTCTAACATAGGCCCGTGCGTGGAATGAACATTTTTGTATATATTTGTACCTGTAAAAGTTTTGAACTTTACACTTAGTACAATCAACCATAATATCATTATTACATAGTACATTGTTTTCATTTGAAAAATGTCTTTGGGAGTTACATATGGTATGGTCAATAAAAAGCAAATCTCCATACGTTCTGGATTAATTAAGAGAGGTATAGCGCTCCCCATCTCAAAGGCCAGATTTAATTGCATAGGCTCAATTGTCTCTCCATCCACATTGGCAAGCATCGCATGAACAATATCCTTGGATACAAAATACAGAGGTATGCGTCCCCCTGCCAATTCGATCATTCCAGTTTGCACTTCGTCAAGAAAAGCAAGTGTGTGGAACAATATTGGGTCATGCAGAAATAGAAGTTCACGCTTAAATAAGTCATGACTTTGGTGCAACTCAGTGGATTTGGCAATTAATTCCGAATGCAAATTTGTTGTAACAACTGTGTCTTCCACAATAGTTAACACGTCTTGGAGAAGTGTTCTTTGCTGTTGTATCACCTGATGAATATCGTTAATGTGTTGCTTTAGCGCATAGATTTCCATATCCAGCTTTTGGACAGTAATAGAGTTGGCTGCAGACATTCCAGTTGCGACAACTGCACCGACAGTGGCACAAACTAATGCAACAATTATAGCGGTGAGGAACCTTTTGGGTCGGTTGCTCATCGGAATAGAACTGGATACAAATGGTTTCCGGGCTTGCTCCAAGATGTTTCGCACACGGTCCTGTGCTCTTTGGAGGTGCATCTGGTACCAAGTCTGTAACTCAGGAAGCTGCATCGATGAAATGTTGTATGCCTTCTCGATGGAAATCTTGGGGTCCAAGCTGACGAACACACGTCGGGTCAGGATCCTCTTCTCTGTTAAGATGAACCCTGGTGTCTCTTGAATCAGGATGCTGGAGGATGGTCCCATCTCTGCAATCGGGTCGGTCCGTAGCTCTTGGTACAGGAACAGTACGATCCAGAAACACGCCACATCCTTCTTGGACATCTTTCGACAGTCACGGATCAGGAACTCGTTTCAGACTTATCTACTAATGATTCAAGGTTTGTTAAGCATACAAACTTATAACAGTGTGACATCACTTGGCCTAGGACAACACATTATTACGATTCATCAACATATGTATTCTGTCTAATTCTATTTTTATAACTTCATCCCTTACTACATTTATTACTGACTCTTCAGCAATTTGCCTATAGCATTTAAACAAGCTAGTAACCTGCTTATAAAATGTAGTTATTGGATGGCAAGGAAATGGTTAATGACATGAACGTACATGAGATCATGGCACATCACAACATTTCACATCATACTATACCACGTGAATCAAGCATTCATCCAGGTTAGTCGTTCACCCTTCTGCGTCTGAATCCACACCTATAATCCTTAATTGAGATTTAGGATGACAAGCACGCAACTGGTTAATGTGAACCCACTTTTCAATAAAATCACCATCCTTAGGAATTTTTATCTTGTACGCTACTGGGGAAATTTTGTCAATAATGACATATGGCCCTTTCCAAGAAGGTAAAAATTTATTTTCCTTGACTTGATTTCGCGCAAAGTTATACAGATAGACTTGATCTGTTATCTCATATTCCTTTTTCGTGGTTTTTAGATCGTAATAGGTCTTAACCCCTGTCGCTGCTTTTTCTAGATTCTTTTGGGCAAAAGCAAACGCATGCTGTAAATGCTTGCGCAAATCTTCGATATACTGATGCGTAGTGGCAGCATTGATCAAGTTATGATCTGAAGTACGATATAGTAAATGCTGTGGTAAAACCATCTTTCTTCCTGTCATCAATTCAAAAGGTGACAATTTGGTAGCAGTGCTAGGTGTAGCTCTAATCGCCATTAAAACTAGGGGCAATTTAATGTCCCAGTCTTTACCAGACTCCTTAACATACTTCTTTAGAATATTAACGATAGACTGGTTATATCGCTCTACCCCCCCGCTAGACGCAGCGCGGTATGCAATATGTAGCTTTCGTTTAACACCTAGAATGTTCCACATCTTAGCCATTACTTCGCTGGTAAATGACTACCTCTGTCTGACTCAATTCTTTGAGGCAGACCGAACCTGGAAAAGACATGGTTAATCAACAAAGTGGCGCACACGGTACTCGTGTTCTCTTTACAAGGCAAACATTCTATCCACTTTGTGTACATACATGTAACGGTTAACATGTATTTGTTACCTCTTGAAGATCTTGTTACAGGACCTATAAAGTCAATTTGAATATCAGACCAGGGTAATGACACCCCCCTCTTCTGAAGTGGTGCACGATGGGTTGGACCATGGGGTTGATATTGCGGACAAATCAAGCATCCCTGACAGTATGTCTTAACATCCCTTAACATGTGTGGCCAATATGCATAATCACGCAATATCTCATATGTGATCTTATCACCACGATGCCCAGATGTAGGTGCATCATGTGCGTGTTGGAGCATTAACCCTCTGTATACAGTTGGGACTACCCATTGTTGTATACCATGTTTAGAAGTTCTGACCAGTAACCCATCCATGATACTAAATTGGACTTTATATCTCATCAAGATTCGTAAATCTTCATTATCTTTGCAATCTTCATCTGTGATGGGATTGGCAGTAGGGTCTTCTATATGTCTATAGAATATGCCTATGACGGGATCACTCTTTTGACTAGTAATCAGGTCCTCACTAGGAGCTTCTTGACTCCATTGCACGACATTTAAGTCGGCATTATCTCTAGCCTGTCGTCTTGTTATGGCTTCAACATGAATTGAACCCATAAGATCATCAATGTTTAGGGTTTCACCATTGATGGCAGCTTGTTTTGCCAGTGAATCAGCTAAGTCATTACCATCCTTGTCAATACCTTCTATTTTAGAATGGCCTTTGGTTTTCTTCCAATATATGGATAAACCATTTTCCTTAACCAGCTCATCGATTTTACAAAACAATTTCCCATGTTTAACAGGTTTGTTATTGCTTTTCAGCATTTGGTTACGTTTCCAGCTAGGCAGATATTCGACGAAACTGTTGCGAACATAGTTGGAATCAGTTATAATAACAAATTCTTTGATACCATATTCTATTGCCATTTGAATGGTCTTATATACTGCACAGAGTTCGGCTATCTGACTGCTTTTGGGACCAATATTGTATCCTATAGATACATTAGGATAATCACCTGTCCAGGCGATTCCGATACCTGCAACTAACTTCCGTTCAGCACCAACGACGTGGTGATATGAACAACCATCAATGTATACCCACGGTAGTGGTCGACAGTATTCCTCGTCATAAACTTTATAAGGAGATAGCAATTGCTCTTCTAGGAAGTCATCTCCGGTGTCATTATCATCCAGAGATGGAGCAGTACAGTCATGTAATTCTGCTAAACCTTGGGCAACTGGGCTTCTCTTATTATGTTTATAACGGACTTCTAACGGCCATCCCTGTAAGGATAGAGTCCATGCAGTAATCCGACTGTTAGAGAGATTACCGTCTCTAATTCTTTCACTCTGTAGATACTGTAGAGGTTGGTGAGCTGTTTCTACAATTATTTTCTCACCTTGGATATAGCTACGAAAATTTTGTAGTGCCCAGACTGTCGACAATAACGCCTTCTCACACGTGTTGAATTTAACTTCAACAGGTGACAAAGTCTTGCTAGCATATGCAATAACTTTGTTTAAACTGTCCTGCTTCTGATACAGAACAGCACTTATGCTTAAATCGGTATATCCTGTCTCCAGATAGAAGGGTTTACCCCCTCTGGGTATGCTAAACAGGGTGCCTGAGTGAGCTTCCTCCTCAGTTCACTTACCGCTTGGTCCTGAGGCTCCCCCCAGTTCCAGGTAGTTTCCTTTTTAAGCAGGTGTAAGAGTGGTTTAGTTATTTCTGCATAGTTATCTATAAACTTACGGGAGTAGTTAGTCATACCAAGGAACGATCTTAATTCCCTGATGTTTGAAGGTGTTTTAGCCTTTAGTACGGCTTCAACCTTCTTCCTCTGGGGATTTAATCCTTCAGAAGTTACCTCATGTCCGAGGAAATTGACATGGGTGCGACACCATTGTGCCTTTTGTAAAGACAGTTTAATCCCTGCCTCTCTTAACTGAGTGAGAACATGTCTAATCTCTAAGATATGCTTATCAAAGGAAGTGCTTTTCAGCAAGACATCGTCGACATATGATAACGTTCCTCTCTCGAGTGCGTCAGGCATAGCTTTATGCATGAACACAGCGAATTCATGACCAGAGTTTATGTAACCGAAAGGCATACGGGTCCAGGTATACTGCTGCTTTCCAAATGTGAAGGCCAATTTGTATTGGTCTTCATTATGGACTGGTACAGTCCAATATCCCTGCGCACAGTCAATGGCAGTGAATATTTTGGATCCCTGCATTTGTACCAAACATTGGTCTATGTATGGCATTGGCCAACCAGACATATAGACGCGTTTATTTAGCTGTCGTAAGTCAGCGCATAAACGCCATTGTCCATTAGGTTTCAGAATCCCCAAGATCGGATTATTATACGAACTGTGCACTGGACGTATAATGCCCCTTTCCTTTAAATTCTGAATGATGTCTTGTAGACCATCATATGATGCTAATGGGAGTCTATATTGTTTGATAAATACAGGTGGTAAATTTGGATCAGTTTGTATTCTGGCTACGTGGAGGTTAGTTAACCCACAGTCGTAGGAATCTTTGGCAAAAATATCTTGGAATTCCAAAAGGATTTCCTTTAGCTGTTGCCGCTCAGCATCGTTGGAGCAACCGTCAGCTAAAGATATTTGCTCTTCTAGCCTTTCCTGAAATCCTGGAAAGATTTCAGGCTGGCCTATCTCATAAGCTTCTTCAAGCCTAGAAGTTAGGTCAGTTCGGTGTTGACTTACCTTTTCTCTTTGGTCGTGATACTCTTGTGATTCCTGCTCATTGAGCGGATGATCGAAGGTAATTGATGCTTCTTCGATTTTACACGAGCCTTCTTCGACGTTGAAGGGATATACAGATAGGATAGTGAATAATCCTTCTGGGGAGGAATGGAATATTTGATCAACAATTTCGTCCTCAGTTAAGTATTCTTCAGGGATGAGGCCTATAATTTGGTTTTGGAAACCAAATGTATAGTACTCAGCATCCAATGCTAGACCTAATAATGTTCCTTTTGGTAAAGTAACACTATTGGGTGTAACATTGTTGACCATTATATAGGTGGGATTCTTACCAATACTTACCATTGGTGTATGTGTTACCACCATCCCTAATTGTTGTATCCTGTTGGATAAACAGATTAGGGCATCAGAGTTTTCCAATCTCTGACCCTTCTTTACCTGTAGGGGTAAAAGAAAGTTACTTGTCCCTTGGGGAATGGTTATGTAATCAGGAACTTGGATACTTACCGCATATGGGAGTATTTGTCCTGATTTCAGGGCGTTTTCCTCGTGTAGATATCCACAAGGATTACCTTTTAACCTTGTCCACAAGTTGGAATTAATCAGGTCAAGGTGTATGGCGAAGCGATGTATGACATCATTGCCAACGTAAACCTGATAGCGAGGTTCGTCTATCACTAGGAATAAATGTTTAACTGTCTTATTTCCGATGGAAATAGATAGTAAACATTTTGCTATCACATTGTGACTCTCTGATTCGCCATCCAGGTTCTGGATCCACCTGTCATGTGGGGAAGCATACCTGATCATTTTAGGATTAGCGATCTGCTTTAACAGACTTCTGCTAATATAGCTGTTCTCACTCTGTAAGTCCAGCTTTGCATTCCTACTTCTTCCTAAGTCATTTATTTGCATAGGAAAGAATAAGTTGTTATTAACCCTTTCAATTCTGGCAAGGAATTGAGCATGACCTGCCAGATCTACAGATTCAACATAGTCCCTGTGGAGAGAAATGGTTAAAACATCACCTTCCAGAGAGACATTCTGGATCCTCTCTGGAGCAATTCTTATGGAATGCTCATCTACAGGTGCGAT